TGCAATCATTATTTGGTTGTGCTGTTGCAACCAATTGTCTGAGACCCCAATGTTGTGAGACTGGTAAAGAGGCTGATGGGAAAGATACCTAGCAATTTCCCCCACAAGATGTGGTCGCACATTACCAGAAATAAAATTCCCTCTATACTGCATCCGTCGCGCTATGCGAACGTGCACAACATGAGTGTCAGTTTGAGGGCGAGGTAGCATCGATACTGTCGTATCTACGGAAACTGGGACGTTAACAATTCCACCCCTACATCGAAACTATCCAGTAGGACCAAACGAAGGCCAAATTGTTTGGAAGATATGGCGAGCCGCTACTGGTCTCTCTTCTAACCGTGTCAGATCGCGAACCATTTCAGGTACCGAGGGGAAATCCAACCCATTTGAAAGGCAGTAAGGAGGCTGCTTCCACTGCCTAATGCTTTCAGCACAAGTTGAACAAAAAGACCCCTCATCGTTGTCATACAAATAAACGCGGGTTATAAGGTCCGTTCGAGCTCGGTTCTCATTGCTTGCATGCGAAAGATTTGATTTAATAAGTTTTACAATAGAACGTTTGAATACCAATCGACCGCAACAAATGCAAACCTGAGTTGGACCCTCCTTAATTGCATTGTTATACATAACTACACCAATAGCATAACTGTTTCTTTGCTCTTGTCGCGCTTCGCAATCCCTAATGCGTTCTGGAGCTCGCACTTCCACCATGGCTCTTCGGCGTTGCATTCGCAGGGCGTTTTCTTGACGCTTTCTTTCCCTTCCCCGACCAGATCTCCGGACTCGCATTGCTGTATTGTTTACCTCTCTTTCCCTTTCTCTGAATTCTGGATTAGTAACTCTACGATTTCGCATTGCTTCTGAATTCACTTCTCTTTCCCTTTCTCTGAAATCTGCATCAGCATCTCTGCGGTTTCTTATTGCATCAGAATTTGCTTCCCTTTCCCTTTCTTTGAATTTTGAATCAGCAGCCCTGCGAGTCCTTATAGCTTCAGAATTCACTTCTCTTTCCTTTTCTCTGTATTCTGAATCCACAGCCCTGCGAGTCCTCATAGATTCAGAATTCACTTCTCTTTCCCTTCCTCTGTATTCCGAATCCTCTGCCCTGCGAGTCCTTGTAGCTTCAGAATTGACTTCTCTTTCCATTTCTCTGAATTCCGAACCAACAGTCCTGCGAGTCCGCATAGCTTCAGAATTCACTTCCCTTTTCCTTTCTCTATATTGCGAATCATTATCCCTGCGGTTTCTCATTGTTTCAGAATTCAATACTCTCCCTTTCTCTGTACTGCAAGTCGATATCCCTGCGATATCTCATCGCTTCGGAGTTCTGCAGTCTTCCTCTTTCTCTAAATTCTGGGCTGACATCTCGTCGAATTCTTATAGCGTTCGCGTTTACCGCACGTCCAGCACTTCTATTTTCTTCCGTCTGCCGACGAATCCTCATCCTGAAATTGCTCAAAATCCTTTCTCTTTCAACATACGTAGCATCCTCTCCTCTCCGCGCTCTCATTGCCTTGCAATTTGCCTCCTTTTCTCTTTGTGCGTATCGCCAATTACTTTCCCTGCGCAGTCTCATCGCTTCCAAATTCGACGCTCTTTCTCCTTCTCTATATTCCAAATCCGTCTCCCGGCGAGACTGCATTGCTTCACTATTCATTTGTCTCTCCCTTCCCCTGTATTCGTGATCGCTTGTTCTGCGCAACTGCACTGATGCACTGTTTGACACTCTCTCTCTTTCTCTATATTCGAAATCAGTTCCTCTGCGATTCCTCATAGCTTGCGTATTCGCAGTCCTTTCCCTCTGTCTGCGGCTTTCCATCTGCCGCTTCAACCGCATATGTTCGGCCGCTCTGTTTGCTTCGGCCTCTTTAAAAGCTGGATTGCTTCTGGCAACGCGCTTTGCCGCGGCATCCCTTGCTCTTTCAAGCGCCTGATAGCTATCTTGGCGTATTGCGGCGATACTCACACCTGTAATCATTATACGTGTAAGTATAACTGTCCTGCCACATTAGGGATAAATTTACACCTCCAATTGTTACACATGTAAGTTTAGTGAGAATTATGCATATGTAAATAGACTGTGAAATCTGCTATGTCTTACCCGAAGACCCTGGCTCCGCAGAGTTGCTTCTTCTTGCTTCGCCAGAGTTGCTTGTCCTTGCGGAGGAAACTGGCTGTGAGGTTGTGAAATGGTGAATGTCCACTTCGCAGCTCGCTCCTTCACGCTGGTCAGGCTCCCCATAACTGTCCTGACGTGTTGCGGTGAGATTCACACCTGCAATCATTACATATGTAATTTGAGTGAGTATTATACATATGCAAAGCGCAGTAAATAGACTGTGAAATCTGCTATGTCTTACCCGAGGGCCCAGGCTCCGCAAAATTGCTTCTGCTTTCTTCGTCACTGTTGGTTCTCCTTTCTATGCCAGAGGAGACCAACTGTGACACTACGGAACTGTGATTCTCCACACCACAGCTCCCTCCCTCACGCTGCATTGAAGGCGCCATTTGGCGGCGACGTTTTCGCTCGGCATCGAGTTGCCGGTTTCTTTCTCGGCTGATTTGCCGTTCCGCCTCAGTTAACTTTCTTCTCAGCATGACAGCAAGGCAGTAATCGAACCTTAAAAGCTAATTTCTAATACAGTCGCTAGCTGTGTGCAGAAGGCAGCATTTTTGAATGCAAGTACAAAATGGAAAGAGGTGGGCATATTAGTAAAGGAAGTAGTAGATCAGTGGAAAACCAAATAATCGTTCAAAAATTGGCTGCAAAAAAGATGTCCGGTTTAACTGGGAGCCCTTCCTGAATGACATTGATCTGGAAACCTCGAACAGTATATCAACAAAAAAAAGTATCAGTTGCATTTAGCAGTCCGTTATCTCAGTAGAGAGAGAAAGTGTAAAATGGAAAGGTGTTGCTCATGGCGAAAACTGAAATTCGGGTGTTTAAGCACTATCAAATTCTAGAAACTCTCAAGCTTCAACGTCTGCCCTAGGTGCTGCCTTGGCGAATTTGAGATACTGTTGGTAGGTTGGGTGGAAGGAAGGATGCAAATGTCGGCGTTGAAAACGGAAGAATGACGGACGGTAAACTCTAATATGAAGAAGCGAAATGAGGGATAGGCGCACCGGAAAAGGCGCGGAATTGATAGACGGCAGTAGTTTAAGGCACGAGAGGAGCGTAAAATGGAAACGAAACATTTCGCAAGATCACGTGGACAGCTGTACTGACATCTTTCTCCAAGATCCTAGTTCTTACGACCCCATTTCTCCGACTAGCGCGAAACCCTTCTGCATAAACTGATGGGCCCAAGATATGCTCAGAAAGGTGGAAAGAGTTGATGACGGCGATAGCAACATACGGCTCCACTCTGACGGTGGATTGGAAGCCACCGTTTGGCTCCAGTGATGGAATAAGGTATGGAGTTGGGAGGAATTTATCTTGGCGACTAAAAAAAAATGCACGAGAATTCCTCTCCTGCTGGGGAGGGGTGTTGAGTAAATATGTAGCATGACGTTGACCTCTGCATATGCACAAAATCAAGGGTGACAGTCCCGAAGCCAAAAAATTGACCGTGTGAGCCATAACGGATCATCCAAATAACTGGATAAAAGAAGCCGGTGCGACTAACTTCCAGGAAAATTTCAGGAAAAGCACTACCCCTCCCTCAAAAAGAAAGACACACTCGGGCGCCTTTTTTAACGCCAAGAAAAATTTCTTGAAAATCCACATCTTGTCCCGGCACTGGGATCGAGCGGTGATGGACGATCGCTTGTGATATACTATGTAATTGCTTACCTGCTGAAATTAAACTTGACCTGCCCATTTAAGGGCGGTCA